GGGAGTGTCAGAGACAGTGCGATTGGCACAGGACAGAGCGGAGTTTAGGGCTGTTGTACATAGGGTCGCTATGAGTCGCAGGCGACTCGACAGCACATAACAACAACAGATGCTCTGCTGGAGAAGGAGGGGCATTCTCCTGTGCCAGTTGAATCTGATTCAACGGCACACAACAGTAACAACAGCTATATTCATTTATGAGGAGGAGGGGTATTGTACAACAATGAAAGAATTTTTTTTCTAAGAGAAGAGCACACTGGGGGCTGTGGTGGGTAGGGAGGAAAATGTGCAACAATGAATGAATGATAATCCAAGTTCTGATAAATTTCCATTAAAATTTCAATTAAAATGAAAATTAAAAAGGTGTATGTGTTAATAGCACAGCAGTACTCAACATGAAGAATTTGTTCTTTAGTTGCTTCAGCTTAAGACATGACGAGCAAAACCACTATGAGATATCATCTCACCCTCGTAAGAATAGCAAAATTTAGGAGGAGCTCTGGTGGCCTAGTGGCAAGAAGCTGCACTGTAATCCCAGAGGCACACGGTTCAAATCCACCAGATGCTCTGCCGGGAAAGGAAGGACAATCTCCTCCTGTACCAGTCAGATCCGATTTGACGGTACACACACACACAATTATAAAATAAAGAAAAAAAAAGAATAGCAAAATTTAACACAACAGCAAGCAAGAAATGCTGGCAAGGTTGTGGAGAAACTGGAACGCTTATTCACTGTTGGTGGAGGTGTAAGATGGTGCAACCACTGCTTTCTCAAAAAGTTACAAGTAGAGATACCATTGGACCTGGCAATTACACTACTGGGAATATACCCCAAAGAGACCCTACCTGCCACCCAAGCAGATATATGCACACCCATATTTATCGCTGCTTTGGTCACAATAACAAGGAGTTGGAAACAACCTAAGTGCCCATCAACAAGCGAATGGATAGAGAAGCTGTGGTATATTCACACAATGGAGTACTGTGCTGCATTGAAAAACAAGGAACTCATGCAATATTACTTAAAATCGTTGACCCTGGAGGACATTATGCTCAGTGAAATATCTCAGTCACTAAAGGACAAATACTGCATGGTGCCACTGTTGTAAACAGGACTGATGTCGGGGTTGGGGAGAAACTGAGAAAGATGGGTTAAAGAGTGTATATTACATTGAAACAGATGAGGGAGAAAACGGTTTAAAAGGGATATGTGATTAGGTATTATTGTCATGACAGGCGTCCAGAATGGAGTGGAGTGGACCTGGGGGGAGGGATTGTATAACAATGAAAGAATTTTTCTTTTACTTTTCAAAGAGAAGAATGAATTGCGGGGAGAGGTGGGCAGGGAGAAAAGTATAACAATCAATGAATGGAGATCCTCAGTCTCTATACTTTCATTAAAATAAATAACAATAAAAAATTTTAAAAAAAGAATATGAGTGAGTTCAGGCCTTTTATTTTCAGACTCCAGTTCTTTGCTTTACACTTCATTATAGTACTTTGCTTGTCATCCCGTGCTGCCCTTTGAAATCTTTTATTCAGCTCCTTCTTGATGTCTTCCCTTTGAGCAGTCAGTATTCAGAGTCTCTGCTCACATCCATTTTGGTCTTTTTCCTCCTCCTTTGTAATGACCTTTTGCAATTTTCATAAGTGGTATTGTTGATATCTTCCCACAGCTCATCTAGTCTTCATTCATTAGTGTTCAAGGCCTCAGACCTGTTCCTGAGTTGGTTTTTAAATTCAAGGGGGGTAGACTGAAGATCAAATTCTGATTTCTTATGGATACAATTTCACCTTCTTTAGCTTTTAATTTGCTAAATTCCATTTCTTATTTATTAATTTATAACTCCCGAAACTTTTGCTGTTTATTTGATTCTGGCTTATGGCAACCTTGTATGACATGGTAAAACCATAGAGTATCTAAAGTTACAATCTCTGCAGTGCTAGACTGCCACGTCTTTGTCCCATAGACTAGCGACTGCTTAACCACCATGCCACCAGGGCTGCTTCTAACATTCCTATTAGCTAGGTGTCAGTACTCTTCTCATTTCACAAATTAAGAATCAGTTTAGGATGATAAAGTAGTTAGCTCTGACTGCAGGGGTTCATGTTGGTTGTTTTTTGTTGTTATAATTCAAAGCTGTTAATTTATGTTGATATTGTCTTAGTCTTTTGTAGCTTTGTTTTTTAGGTCTCTTTCACATATATCCCAATAGTTTTTAATAGAAATTTTTTTCCACAAATGCCTAGTAAGAGATAATTTATGGGTACACATTCTATAACCCTCTACTCAACTTTTGCTGATAATCTTTCTCATTCACCAGTTTTAGAACAGCTTCCAACTTACCATAAATCTCTCTCACGCTGCTGCTCAGTTCTATTAGAAACCCAAACAGTTTACTAAACTTTGAAATTTGAACAACCTATAACTTTGAAAATTAGTTCAGATTTTACATAAATCCTATTTGGCTTCCAATTATAAAAAGCTTTCCTTTTGATCTGTATCAAGATGCTTTGTTATTGATTATGTATAAAGATTGTAAATTTCCCCTGAATGAATATACAGTTCAAACATGTAGACCAAGATGAGGTTTATTTCTAAATCTTTGTATTATTTCTGAAATCTCCAGGCAATTAGATATTAGTGGTAATGTAACACTTTTATTATTTGTGTTTTATTTTATTAAATTGATAAAGATGCAGTTTTTCTTTTACCAGTTACTGGTATTTTAGGATTGCTGCATATTATTTTGAACAGCTGGTTTTCTTCATTGGATGATTTTATTTCCTTTAATCATTTAAAGATCTTACTATTAGTTATTGTCATATTATTTTATTAATACAATTTTGTTTGTACATTACTCTATTTGGTTGAAGATAAGAACCCCTTTGGTTTTTAAAGACCTTTAAAAGACAAAAATAGAGAAAATAGTAAATTTTTATATATATATATATTTTTTCTTTTTTGTCTGTTTTAGGATGGCTACCATAGAGTAGTTAATATTGTGCCAAAGAAACCACCACCACTACTAGACAGACCTGGTGAAGGAAACGGCAATAGATATTACAGTCATGTTGATTACCGAGAATATGACGAGGGCCGCAGTTTGTCTCATGATCGAAGAAGTGGTCCATCTAACAGAGGAGTATGTAAATTTTCCCCATGTACTTAACTGTTCTTTTCTATAAGTTTAAAATTCACGTAATATAAAATTTATGTGGTTAGCCGTGGAGGCAGTTGAATAATTGCTTTCTGCTTGATGTTCTGGTAAATTGGCTTGAGCTTTCAAATGGGTACTGGTTGTCAAGAATCCTGGGATTCTGGACATAGTGAATAAACATTCGGGATAACTCTAGCTTTATCCTAATGACATTAATTCCAATTAACCTACCTTTTTCATTTCCTAAATTGGCAGGAATTTATAGAACTTGATAAAAATAATCTGTTTTCTTGGTGAACTTGTGAATAAATTATAAGTAAACTGTTATCATCTCCTACCAAATGTGCCCATTTATAGTTAATTACTTTTTACATTTTGATGAAATGCTGTTCAATTTACTTGCATTTATTCTCATTTTTATTGTAGTTAATCATTAAAGTCTACAAACAGGTTAGAAAGTACAAAAAACAATGTAAGCCATTTTAGAAATATTAGCTGCTATTATTGCTATAGTAAATTGTTTTTCTTTATCATCATTACTTATCTAGAACTATATATTTAATGTTCTGGGGCAATCAATCACTGGATATGATTGAAACAGACGTAGTCTAGCTGACATGTTAGCAGCATTGCTCTTTCCTTACTACATGTTATTGTAATTATCAACATGTACTTAAACATGGTTCATAATTCAATTTTACCTCATATTGACCCATTCTTTACATTGGAAGATATGGAAGTATGAGGATTTGCTCAGGAGTGTGTATGTTTTTGTTACACTTTTATCTACACTTTGGTAACCTTTGACACACTAGGAAGGAGGATTTGCCATCCCCTTCCAAAATAACAGGCCTTTGAAAACCCTTTGTACAATTAGAGTAGACTAGTAGATATGGCATCTGACACTGAGACCTCAAATGTGGAAACACAAAGGAGGAGGAATAGTTGTAAGTAAACACTAGTGATTGGAATGTGGAATGTGAGAAGCATAAATGTAGGAATATTGGACTTTGTTAAGAAAGAAATGCAATGCATAAATACTGACATACTAGGTATTGGCAAAATGAGATGGATTGACATGGGCATTTTGAATCAGACAATCATGATCTACTATGCTGGAGATGAAAAATTGAGGAAAAATGGGGTTGCTTTCATAGTTAAAAAAGTAATTTCTAGGTCCACCCTAAAACAGAAATGTTGTGAGTGACAAGTACACGTACAAGGACGCCCAGTGAATACTATTATTATTCAAATATATGCACCAACAATTAGAGCCAAAGAAGAGGAAATAGAAGACTTCTACCAACTTTTGTAATCAGAAATTGATCAAACATGCAATCAAGATACATACAAATATAAGAAAAGGAAGAAAAAAGATACATTAATAATAATGGGTGACTTGAATGTAAAAGTTGGAAACAGAAGGATCAGTAGTTGGAAAACATGGAGGTGGTGACAAATAATAACTGGAAACAGAATGATAGAATTCTGTATACTCAATGACTATTCATTGCAAACACTTACTATAAGAAACATACACACACACTATACACATGAATTTCACCTGATGGTATGCAGAGGAATATGATTGACTATAGCTGTGGGAAGAATTGGTGAAGAAACTTGATACCATCTGTGAATACTAGGCCAGGTGCTGATTGTGGAACAGAACTCCCAATTACTTATATGCAAGTTCAGGGTGAAGCTAAAGAAAGTTAAATCAAATTCAAAGGAACCAAGATTTGTGAGTGAGTCTGTCCCACTTGAATTTCAAAACTATCTCGGGAACAGATTTGAGACTTTGAACACTAATAAATGAAGATCAGATTAGCTGTGGGAGGATATCTAGAGTATCATCTGTGAAGAATGTAAAAAGTTATTAGAAAGACATTGGAGGAAGAAAAGACCATGAGACTCTTAATATTGCACTAGAACACCAAGCCAAAGCAAAGGGAAGAAATTAAGGAGCTGGACAGAACTTTTCAAAGAGCAATGAGGGAAGACAAGCAAAGCGTTAAAATGAAATGTGCTAAGAGCTGTAGACGAAAAATTAAAAGGGCCAAACTCATTCAGCATGTCTTTCTTTAAAATTAGTTTTAATGAAAGTTTACAGAGACTTAGGGTTTCAAGTCATTCATTGTTGTTTTTTTCTCCCTGCCCTCACACTTCTTGAAAAGAAAAAGTCTTTGTTATGCAATCCCTCCTTCCACATCTACTCCACTGTGCAGCCTTCATTCTGGACTTCTCACTCAGCATTTCTTAAGCTGACAAAAACTGAAGAATAAATTCAAGTCTTGACTTGTAATACTTGAGGATGCGTTGGGCAGAATATTAAATGATCCAGGAAGCATTAAAAGAATTTGGTAGGAGTCTACAGAGTCCCTGTACCAAAAAGAATTGGCGGACACAGAACAATTTCATGAAACAACGTATGAGCAAGAGCCTGTGGTGAGGAAGGAGGAAATTCAAGCTGCTCTGAGAGAATTTGGCAGAAAACAAGGCCCCAAGGAATTGATGGCATACCTAACTGACATATTTCAACAAACAAATGCTGCCCTGAATGCGCTCATCAAGTTGTGCCAAGAAATCTGGAGGATGGCCACCTGGCCAACTGTCTAGAAGAGATCCATATTTTTTTCACATTCCAAAGAAAGGTGACTTGACAGAATGTAGAAATTATTGAACAGTGTCATTAATATCACATACAAGCAACATTCTGCTGAAAATGATCCAAAAAATGACTGGAACAACACATCAGCAGAGAACGGCCAGATGTGCAGCCTGGGTTTAGAAGAGGCCGTGTCACTAGGTATGTTATAGCTAATGTTAGGTGGATCTTAGCTGAAAGCAGAGAGTACCAGCAGAATGTATATCTGTGTTTCATTGACTATGCAAAGGCATTTGACTGTGTGGATAGCAACAAACTGTAGCTGAATGAGAAAGTGTGGGAATCCGAGAATACTAGATTTTGCTTATGTGAAACCCATACTTGGACTGGGAAGCAGTCATAAGAACAGAACAAGGAAACACTACATGGTTAAAATCCAGAAGGGTGTCTGCCAGGGATGTGTCTTATCTCCATACATTTTCAATCTGTTTGTGGAACAGATCATCCAGGAGGTTGGGCTCTATGAGGAGGAGTGTGGCATTAGGATTGAAGAAAACTCATCTACCAACAATTTGTGCTATGCAGATGACACAACTTTGCTTGCTGAAACTGAGGAAGACCTGAAGCACTTGCTGCAGTAGGTCAAGGACTGTAGCCTTCAATATGAATTGAAGCTCAAAATCAAGAAAACAAAGATTCTAACCACTTGGCAGATTAACAGCATTATTATAGATGGTGAACAGATTGTTAACAGCTTTGCTTTGATTGGCTCCACAAACAACATTCTTGGTTCCAGCAGCCAGGAAATCAAAAGACAAATTGCATTGGGAAAATCTGCTGTCTTGGATTTCTCCAGAGTACTGTAGAGCAACAATGTCAGTCTAGAGACTAAGGTGAGCCTCATCCTGGCAGTGATCTTTGCAATTACGTGCTAAGAAAGCTAGACACTAAGGTTGATAGAAGAAGAATTGATGCTTTTGAATTTTGGTGCTGGAGAATAATTTTGACTATACCATAGACTGCTAAGAGAACAAACTGGCTCGTCCTGTAGAGGGTGAAACCAGGCTGCTCCTTGGAGGCAAGGATTCTGAAGCTTCGTCTGGTATACTTTGGGCGTGTTGCAAGGAAATCCCAGTCCTTGGAGAGGGACATTATGATTGGGAGTGACAGCGCAAGAAAGGAAAATCCTTGATGAGGTAAATAGACTCAGTGTCTGGAATAATGAGGGTAGGTGTGTCAGAGAGAATAAGGTTGGCTCAGGGTAGATCAGTGTTCAGAGCTGTTGTATATAAGGTCACTGAGTTACAGGCGACTTGATGGCACATAACCATAGCAACAATAGTAACCTTTGACAGTTTAAAAGTGTAGTGGATTTTGTTGGTCTTTTTCCCCCTCCACCTAAAGTGTGAAGTATTAAAACTTTCTCACTCCTCATAGAATGTATTTTTATTTTGTTCAATTTAAAATCTTACGTTGTTCCTTTAAGAAGAGGAAGAAGTGTTACAAAAGTAAATATTATGCATTATCTCTATTCTAGAAAATATTGCATTTTGCCACTAAAGCCATTCTTTGTTAGATTAAGGAAAAATCCCACCCTTTTAGCCTTTGCGCTAATAGGAACTATCCGTCTTATCAAAACCCTAAACCTATTTCATGTAGACAAGGAATTTTGAGTTCATTGGACTAAGTTATATATGAATCTACCTAAGCATAATTTTTTCCCCTGAATGCTTATAGTGTAACTGTGCCTCAGTAGTCTTTTCTTTTGTTTTTTCAAGCGTTATTTATCTTAAGACTTTATGTGATGTTTGTCTAACTTCTCTTAAATATGTAATGCTTAGGATGCTTGTTAAACAATAAGCATGTTTGTTAGACAAACATCACAAAAAATCTCAAAATAAGTAAAACTTGGACCAACAAAACAAATGATTGATGAGGCAGTTATGCTGTAATCGTTTAGGGGGAAAAAGTTAAGCTTATATTGATTCACATATAAATTGATTTTACTTACGTATGTTATTATTGATGTCTTCCATCATTTCCTCTCTTGACTCACATAGTTTTAGAATAGGAAATCATATAGATCTCTCCCAGTCTGTTGGCCAGGTGGTTGTCTTCCAAGTTATGTAGCATAGGCTGGTAGGCATGTCCAGGGCTGCATCTGTTCAAATAAATCGATATTATGTCAGTTATTGGGCCTCATTTTGATGTCTTCAGTGCAGCATGAACATCTTCCTTTGTTAATGTTGGTTCTTGATCATATGCTACTTCCTGAAATGATTCAGCGTGGACTGGTTTTGGTTTGGTTTTTTTTTTTTTTTACAATAACTGTATTTCTTCCATCTTCTTTTGACACTTCCTGCATTGTTATTCAGTGTGCTATTAAAATCCTTTGGTGTTGCAACCTAAGGCTTATATTTTTTTTCTTCAGTTCTTTCAGCTTAAGAAATGCTTAGTGTTCTTGCCTTTAGGTTTTCTAACTATCTCCTTTTAATTGTTTTTAGACAAACATTTTTTCTAAGTGGTATAGCACTGGTCTGACCATTTGCTGTACAGAGGTTAACTTGTGGTTGCTGTGAAGCTGAACACTGTGACACTGATGTGTCAAATGTGATAATGGTTACCCATGGTGGACAGTCTGGTGGAGCTCCATGATTAAAATAAGCTTGACTGCTAAGAGAACAAACAGATTCATCCTGGAGAGGTTTAAACCAGGCTGCTCCTTGTAGGCAAGGATTCTGAAGCTTTGCGTGACATACTTTAGACAATGTGCAAAGAAGGACCAGTCCTTGGAGAGGGACATTATGCTTGGGAGGATGGAGGGGCAGTGCAGGAGAGGAAGATCCTCGATGAGATGGATTGAGTCAGTGACTGGTGTAAAAGCGATAGGTGTGTAAGAGACAGTAAGATTGGTACAGGATAGAGCAGGCCTTAGGGCTGTTGTAAATAGGGTCTCTATGAGCCACAGGCAAATCAACGGCACATAACAACAATACTAACATTTTTTTCCCCAACAACACAGTCTTACAAAATGTATTTAAAATTTATAAGGTCCTTCAAATATTCAAAGTCCTTTGCAAAGTATAGAACAAAGAATACATGAAGCTCAGTTAGATCACATGGATTTTAAAAAAACCTTTACTATTCTTCATTATTCTTTACGGTTTCCCACTGGACTATTATATCAAAACAAAATCATAGAATGGTTATTTTGGGGAAGTAAATATAATAAAAAATTAGGTACCTATATTGAAAAAAAAATGTGATCTTATCATTAAAGATTGACTAAGACTGTGTCTGTTAATGGCTGTTGATCTAGGCAAAATTATAGTGTATTCACAGCTTCAGAGAAAATTATTTATGGAAAATATTAGTGTTGGAAGGAGGCTTTTATGAGCTATATAGGAAAGATCTTAATTCTTACCCTTTAGTTAAACAGTTACAACTTATAAAAGGAACCAGTTGGATATTGGTGAAGTAGAAACTTCACCTTTGTATGCAGATGCATTTTATACAGATGCAAATAATATGGGTTGTGCAGGTTATACCAATAGCAAGGATAATAAAGTAGTTAAAACTAATTTAACTTCTGTTCAATAGGCTGAACTGTATACTATTACTATGTTATTGCAAGGCAAAAATTTTTCTTTGAATACAGCTACTGACTCACAATATGGTGAATTTACGGTAAGAAATATAGAAACAGTATATATTCCTTCTCAAGATACTAATATTCATATGTTATTTACAATATTAAATATTTACAATATTTAATCCATCAATGAGAATCTCCTATAAATATCACTCATATTTGAGCTCATTCTGGCTTTCCAGGACCAGTGTCTCAATTAAATGATAAAACAGATCAATTATTAGTAGGAAATTTTAAAGTTAGTGAAGATTTTCATCTTCATACTTATTTAAAAGTTAATGGAATGATGAAAAAATTTGGAATTACTCGGCAACAAGCTTGAGAGATTATACAGAGATGTCCTTAGTGTGTACCACCTTGTGAAAAGGGAGTCAGTCTTAGGAGCGACAGATAAAATGTACTAGGACAAATGGATGTTCCTCATATTCAACCATTTGGGAAATTACAATATGTACATTATACTATTGATACTTGCTCAGGCTTTCAAAGATCAGAGTATGTAAGTCAACAATTAATTGAAATTTTTAATGTGATGTGTCACCCATCAAGTATTAACAGTTTTGTAATGCTCTTGCTTGTAATTCTAAGGAAATACAAGAGTTTTTTTCAAAAATGAAATATTAAACATACTGCTGGTGTTCCTTCTGGAGAGAGGATGAAAGGCACCCAAGCATCTAGGACTCTTCTTTAGAGGGTCGCTATGAGTCCCCTGCGACTCGATGGCATTTAACAACAACAACAAGTGGTGTTCCTTATAGTACCTGAGGACAAGCTATTGTAGAAAGGGCTAATTAGATTTTACAGATTATGTTAGACAGGCAAAAGGGGGGAGGTTGGATAGGACAAATAACATTTCCTTGAACTATTTTACACAAAACCCTATTTAATTTTTTTAAATGCCAATAAGAAAGATTCTCACTTCTGGGCCAATTGGCAGCATTATGGTAGATGGTGAAGAGATTGAGATTGTTAACCGTTTTAGTTTGCTTAACTCCACAATCAGTACTCTTGGTTTCAGCAGCCAGGAAATCAAAAGATGAAATCATTGAGAAAGTCTACTGTCAGAGACTTCTCCAAAGTATTGAAGAGCAACGATGTCAGTCTGTAGATTAAGGTGTGCCTTATTCAGGCCATAGTCTTTGCAGTTACTTGCTATGCATCAGAAAGCTGGATAATGACTAGGGATGATAGAAGGAGAATTGATATCTTTGAGCTATGGTGCAGGAGAACAGTATTGAATATACCATGGATTAATAAGAGAACAAACAGGTTCGTCCTAGAGAGAGTGATAATTTAAGTATTTTAATGGCGACCAATAATAATTTGTGTTACTCAGTTTACCATTTTAATTGGTAAAAGAAAATTATTCACTGTTTATTTTTCCTTTTTCATGCCTTTGAAGTTCAGAGAAATTTAGAAAAGTGTATTTTGTACTCATATTATTTTGGTTTAAAGGCTAGTTTCCATTAATCCTATTAGATGTATATTACTTGGCCAAAATAACTAAATAAACCTTTTTTCTATTCCAGGATGAATCTGGTTATAGATGGCCACGGGATGACCATACTGGAAGTCGACAGTCTGAATACAGGTAAAAAAAGATAAAAACTGCTTTGATACTTGAGTCACAATGGTGTCTGCTCTTGAAATATAAATATTGTATTGTTGTTTTTAGATGCCATTGAATCGCCTATGACTCATAGTGACACTATGAACAGTAGATGTAAAACCTTGCCCTATCCTGTACTATCCTCTCCATTCCTGATATGCTTCAGCGACTGTGTCAGTCACTGTGACAATCCATTTTGCTGAAGGTCATCTCTTGCTCTGACCCTCCACATTTCCTGGCAGGATGTCCTTTTCTGAGGACTAGCCCCTCTTGAGAAGATGCCCAAAGTTAAATGAGATGTTTCTTGTTTCTGAGGAGCAGCCTGACTGCACTTCCTGCAAGACAGATTGGCTTATTCTTTTGACATTCGGTGGGATATTCAGTACTCAACTCTTAACACCAGAATTTAAAGGCATTGGTCATTATTATGCCATGGCTATTCATTGTCCATCTTTGAGATGCACAGGACAGTAATGAGAAGACCATGAATATTGTATTGGAAATCTTAGCAATAATAATAAGTTAAGAGAAGGAAATAAGAGGTATCCAGATTGGGAAAGAGCAGGTTAAATTACTTCTATATGTAGTTGATATGATAGTATACTTAGAAAACCCTAAAACTCAGTGAGAAAACTACTGGACATTGTCGACCAATTCAGCAAAGAGGCAGGATACAAGATCAACATTAAAAAAAAATCAATTGGATTTCTTTACAGTGACAAAGAGAATACAGAACTGGAGCTAAGAATTACAATACCCATCACAATAGCTAACCATAGGATTAAATAGTTGGGGGTAAATCTAACTAGAAAACACAAAAGACCTATTAAAGAAAATTATAAAACCTTACTACAAGAAACAAACAAAGATGGGGTGGGGGGTGGGGGAAAGACCTGGAGAAATGGAAGAAAATACCATGCTCATAGATAGGAAGACTTAATATTGTGAAAATGACAGTACTACCAAAGGCAATATGCAAGTTCAATGCAATCTCAAAACAAAGATCAATTCCATTCCTCAACAAGATGAAAAAGGCAATTTCCAATTTTACCTGGAATAGAAAGAGATACCAGATAAGCAAAGTGCGCCTTAAAAAGAGAAACAAGGTAGGAGACAACTCACTCCCTGATCTCAGATCTTACTACACAGCTATGATGGTCACAACAGCATGGTACTAGTACTGTGATAGACACATAGGTGAATGGAATAGAATAGAGAACCCAGAATTCAGCTCATCTACCTATAGTCAGTCGATTTTTGACAAAAAGGTGAAAGCTAATTAGTGGGGAAACAAAAGCCACTTTGATAAATGGTGTTGGCAAAATTGGAAAACTATCTGTAGAAAACTCAAGAAAGACCCACACCTCACACTATACACAAAAACCAATTCAAAAGTGGATCAAGGACCTAGGAGTAAAACCAAGGACTATAAACATCATCAGAGAACTCTAGAAGCCCTAATCCACAACATGAATTCCAAGCATCCTGAAAAACCAGCAGCTAGGAGAGAATAGAATAGATGAATGGGATCTTTCAGGAATCAAATCCAAATTCACATCAAAAAACTTCTCCAACCAGGTAAAAAAGGAAAGCCACAGACTAGGAAAAATATTTGTGTTTTTTAGTTAGATTTACCCCCAAGTAACAGTAGCAAAGTTCAACAGAGCAGCAAACGTCAGATGCTGGCGAGGTTGTGGAGAAATTGGAATTGATAGTGGGAGTGTAAGATGGAGCAATATGGAAGGTAGTATGGTGCTTTCTCAAAAATTTGGAAATAGAAATACCATTTGGCCAAGCAATTCCAGTACTGGGATTATACCCTGAAGAAACCAGAACTGCCACCTATATTTATTCCTGTTGTTCACAGTAGTTAGGAAATGGAAGCAACCCACATGCCCCTCAACAAATGAATGGATAGAGAACCTGTAGTATATTCATGCAATGTAATAATGTGCAGCAATGAAAACAAGGAACTCATAAAATATATAAAATGGGTGACCCTGGATGACATTATGCTGAGTAAAATATCTCAGTCACAAAAGGACAAATATTGCATAGTGTCACTGCTATTAAATAGGACTGACATCAGGGATTGGAGGAAACTAAGAGAACCCTGCATTAGAACAGATGAGGGAAAGAATTGTTTAAAAGGAATATATTATTAGGCATTATTTGCACGATAGTAATCCAGGATAAGGATGAAATTGTGCAATAGTGAAGAAATTTTTTAAAGAGAAAAGCAAACTGAACTGGGGCTAGGGAGGAAAATGTACAACAATGAATTAATGGAAATACAAGTTTTCTGTAAACTTTTGTTAAAAATCACAATAAAGAATTATAAAACAAATTTTGAAACAAGGAACAAAAGAAAACGTGTAGTACATAGCCCCTCGTATATGAATTTATGGATAATAGAAGTTCCTTTTTTTCAAACAAATTTATCCCATAGTTACTATAGTCATTATAACTCTAGTGTTAATTTATCTTACCTGAAATATTTCTAAAGAAGTCATGAAGTGTGTGCCACATCCCTTTGTTTTATTAATGTCTTCTGAATTCCTGACAATTGAAAGTACTGGTTATAAAGTTACTGTCTCTTCTGTTGCTTGGTATACTACTAGTATTAAAATATAACACAGAAAAAAGTGACTACTGTTTGCACTGGAGTGCAGAGAGGCCAAAGCAGAGGGAAGAATTCAAGATACTAAAGAGTTGAATAGAAGATTTCAAAAGGCAGCATGGGTAAAATATTACACTGAAATGTGTAAGGAGTTGGAGTCAGAAAATCAAAAGGGCCTAACTCACTCAGCATTTCTTAAGCTCAAGGAAATGAAGAACAAATTCAAACCTCGAGTTGCTATAATCAGGGAGGCTTTAGGCAGAATATTAAATGATCCAGGAAGTATTAAAAGAAGATGAAAGAATATACTGAGTCACTGTATCGAAAGGAATTGGCAGACACAGAAGAATTTCATGAAACAAAATATGAGCAAGAGTCTGTGGTGATGAAGGAAGAAGTTCAAGCTGCTTTGAAGGAAATAGCAAAAAATAAGGCCCCAGGAATAGATGGTATACCAGTTGACATATTTCAGCTAACAGATGCTGCCATGGACGTGCTCACCAAGTTGTGCCACGAAATCTGGAGAACAACCACCTGGCCAGCTGACTGGAAGAGATCTATATTTGTTCCCATCCCAAAGAATGGTGACCCAACAGAGTGTGGAAACTATAGAACAATATCATTGATTTCACGTGCAAGCAAAATTCTACTGAAGATTATCCAAAAACTACTGGAACAGCACATCAGCAGAGAACTGCCAGAAGTCCAGGCTGGGTTTAGAAGGGGTCGTGGTACTAGGGATATTGTAGCTAATGTTAGATGGATCTTAGCTGAAAGTAGGGAGTACCAGAGGAATGTCTGTCTGTGTTTTATTGACTATGCAAAGGCGTTTGACTGTGTGGATCATAACAAACTGTGGCTGACTCTCAGAAGAATGGGAATCCCAGAACACTTGATCGTGCTAATGAGAAACCTATACTTGGACCAAGAGGCAGTCATCAGAAGAGAGCAGGGAAACACTGCATGGTTCAAAATTGGAGCAGGCTTACGTCAGGGATGTGTCCTGTCTTCATACCTTTTCAAACCATATGCAGAACAGATTATCTGGGAGGCTGGGCTCTATGAGGAGAAATGTGGGGTCAAGATTGGTGGAAGATCTGTCAACAATCTGCGATATGCAATGACACAGCCCTGCTTTCTGAAACTGAGGAGGACCTGAAGCACTTGCTGCAGAGGGTCAAGGACTGCAGCCTCCAGTATGGATTGAGGCTCAATGTCAAGAAGATAAAGATTCTCACCACTGGGCCATTTGGCAGCATCAGGATGGATGGTGAAGAGATTGAGATTGTTCACAGCTTCAGTTTGCTTGGCTCCACAGTCAACACTCTCGGCACCAGCAGCCAGGAAATTAGAAGACGTATTGCCATGGGAATGTCTGCTGTTAGGGACCTCTCCAAAGTACTGAAGAGCCATGGTGTCTCTTTGGAGACTAAGGTCCGACTGATACAGGCCATGGTCTTTGCTATCATTTGTTATGCATCAGAGAGTTGGACAGTGACTAAGGAGGATAGAAGGAGAATTGATGCCTTTAAGCTGTGGTGCTGGAGAAGAGTATTAAGGGTACCACGGACTGCTAGGAAAACAAACAGATTCATCCTGGAAAGGGTCAAACCGGGTTGCTCCTTGGAGGCAAGGATTTTAAGGCTCTGTCTAACATACTTTGGACATGTTGCAAGGAGGGACAGGTCCTTGGAGAGGGACATCATGCTTGGTAGGGTGGAGGGATAGCGCAGAAGGGGAGGCCCCTTATGAGGTGGATTGATTCAGTGACTCGGGTAATCGGGATGGGTGTATTGGAGACGGTGCGATTGGCACAGGACAGAGCAGAATTTAGGGATGTTGTACATAGGGTCGCTATGAGTCACAAGCAACTCGATCGCACATAACAGCAACAACAACATTATGCCTGTAAAGAAGAATGGTAGAGGTCTGGGTTCCTATTAATCTTGATACTGGTAGGAACCTTCTGCGTTGCATATCTTAAAAGAAACTTTAAAAGGACTATTGGTAGATCCAAAAGATTTTTATCTGCAATTACTCTAATTACTGCTACTGTTGAAGTGTATTTAACAGAATCCATATACTTCTCTAGCAGTAGAGCATGACTAATACTCCTCAAGCCTTGATTAAACTAATATTGATAAAGTAATTGTAAACTGCTTACAGGTTTTAGAGACTACTACAGTATGGCTTAGAGAAAAACAACAAGTCTTAATAACTTTAAACTGTTTGCATTATGATTGACAATGTGAATATATTACTCCTCTTTCTTACCACATTTCTCAATATACTTTAGAAAAAATTAAAAAACAATTACAAGGAGCTGTTTTTTTAGTTGTTATACTAGTTTATCTACAAAATT